TCTGTATGCAGAATGCTATAACAGTCTCATATTTTTAAAATATGCCACCTCCCATAAAGTAGTGGTTTCAGGTGACTAATCATTGTATAGAGCCCAGAGCTGATATTTAAATGCAAACTGGGGCCTTTTTGTGCAGTTTTGGATCTTAGGGCACAATTCAGAGGCAGCACACTTCACAGAAGTGTGTAACTGTGTCCAGTTCTGGGCTCCTCAGGACAAGAAAGACATGGAGCTTCCGGAGATGGTCCAGCAGAGGCCACAAAGATGATGAGAGTTCTGGAACATCTCTTAGGAGGAGAGACTGTGGGAGCTGGGCCTGTTTGGTCTGGAGAAGACTGAGATGAGATGAGATGAGATGAGATGAGATGAGATGAGATGAGATGAGATGAGATCTCAATAACCCATACAATATTTCCAGGGAGGGTGACAAGAAGATGGTGCCAGGCTCTTGTCATTGGTGCCCAGTGACAGGACAAGGAGCAATGGCCATAAACTGCACAAGAAGTTTCACCCAAACATGAGGAAGAACTTGTGAAGTTTCCCTCTCTGGAGATATTCCAAACCCACCTGGACACATTCCTGTGTCACCTGCTCCAGGTGACCCTGCCTTGGCAGGAGGGGTTGGACAGAGTGATCTCCAGAGGTCCCTTCCAAGCCTAAAAGCTCTGTGATTCCATGAGTCTGTGAATAATACAGATTTAACTAGGAACAGTGAAATTCAAAAAAAACATGGACACAGTGGCTGCAACACATAAAATGATGATCTACTTAATTTGCAAGTGGACATGCTATTTAAAATGAGTGCAACTGAAGTGTCAGTCTGGAAATGTGGAGTGTCAGAGCCATCTGGAAAAAAGCACCCTGCCCTATTCAGACATCATTTATGTCCAAGACCCTTACTGTTATGGCTACTGGAAACTTTGCCTGTCTTAAGATTTCATGTAGGGAGCCTTTCTTGGGCTTTTCTGTAATGGCATGTAACAAAAGTATCAACACCATCTGAAGTACCATTTGTCCATACAAAGTAATATTTTACAATTTGGGGTAAACCCTGGCTCCATGATGCAGAATATTTTTGTGACTCCACTGGAGCCAGGATTTTCTGTATCTTCCAATGCTTTCACAGTAATTGGATGTGGACCTGGACATCAATACCAGCTGCTGATAATATTGAGCTATAGAATGTTATTTGCTATAATGGTTGTGATCAGAGGTAAATCTGTCTTCTGCCCCTTCCAAAGGAGACATTTAGGGCGGAACCCCCAATCTTTTCAGAAACACATTGAGAGAAGAGAAAATGATCAGTGTAGTCATAGGTGCAGTCCAGCTTTCCACCAGCTGTTTGGGCCAGAGCTCTGAAATCCCACTGCAGTTAAAGGCAGCCTCAAGAGATACCTAACTAATGGTGTAGCTGTCCAATGCCTTCCCAGGTCATTCCTGGGGTAAAGGTAGTGTGGGTCGGATATTTTTGCAGTTCACTAATTTTGAAGTATAAAAAAGGTCTTTTGAGGCCATAAGAGCAACTGGCAGCTTCCAGAGTTTTGCCCTGGTGAGATCAGTCCTGGTCTAGGGTCAGAAGGTGAGAGAGTGAGGAAGGATGAAAATTTTACTTTAACCCTTCATGTCTTTATTTGTCCAGCAATCTCTCTATATATCAGCTGAGCCAAGGGAATCTAGGAATGTGTCTATACAGATCTGGGTTAGAGAAGCTCTTTTCATTAGGAATTTAAGGATGAACTATACCTTCCCATACATTTTGAAGGAGACCCCCTTTTTCAAGCACAAAACAATGAAGATATTCTGTAAAATCATTCTGTAATTGTTCATTTTTCTCCACTTGTTCCAATGACAGTGATAGCACTCAATCAAAGAAGTCATGTAGATAGTACATGTGGATGACAGGGATTTAACTTTTATTTTCTGACAACAGAAAATAAAACTTTAAACTGAAGAAAATAATCTCTTGTAATACTTCAAGATTTATCTATTAAATTGCTTGCCAGTAGTTTGAAAAAAAAGCTATCTGAAATCACACTGGGAAATCCTCTGAGTTCAGTCAAATCTCTGAGTCAGCTTCATTTATCACTGCCATCACTGGCTGCTCTATAAATACATCTGCTTTTACAGCCTACACATTCTGAGATTTGCCTGTTATCTCCTCAGAAGAGAAGGGCTAGTGGCTTCTCTTAAACAAGCCTGGCTCAGTCAAAGCCAACACAAATGTGAGCCCAAGAGGCCGAGTGCATCAGTTGTTGTTAGCTTTGATAGTCCCTGCTATCATTTGAGAGTGTGCTTGCAGCCAGTCCAAGTTGGCAGAGTCAGCCCAAGCTGATTGGAGCTGCAGACATTTTTGCTGACTGGAGTCATGCTATCTTTGCCAGTTTGCTGGAATAGACACAGACACTGATTGGGTCATGCTGAAAACATTCCTGTCCTATGAAGCAAGTCTGTTTGTATTTCAGGTTTGCCAGGACTAATGAATTAAAAATCTTGGGCTCACCACAGTTTGCTGTTTAATAATGCCTGTAACAGAAGGATTTTTTCCTCCCTGAAGTGTGACAGCATCATAATCTCTCATCCCTGGCAAGGAGAGGAAGGAAAATCAGAATTGTGGAAAAGGGTTATCTTTTGGGACAGCAAAGCCTATGGGAAGTGCAGGTAGCAGCATGTTGCCCTGACAGCTGTCTCAGCTTCTCAGACCTTGTCAGTTTGTTGCTATGCAGCAGGTGCAGCCTTTTCTTTTATTGAAGCTTTACTCCATAAAGGCAACGACGAGCCAAGGCAGTGGCTGGCCCTGGATTATACAAGTGCAGACACTCCGCTAAGTGAGGTAAGGCAACAGGTGTGAAAAAATCCATAGAGCTCTAACCTAGAGCATTTAATCTCAGTTCTGCTGCAGGTTTTTTACAGAGGAACAGCAGCCAGCCAGCTCTATAGGCAATTGTTGGGAGGATGAGAGCTGCTCATTAAATCTGATTAAGTTCCAGGTTGCCCACTCACTCTCATCTCTGTCTACAGAGACACTGTTCTTCATTCATGGGGAAAGGATGTGGGAAATTAGGGGCAGTTGGTCTGCATGTTTCATAATATCACCTTGTTTGCACACAGGCTTTTTTCATCCCTCTCTCTTCTCTGTGATTGCTTTTTGTGATGGAGAGAAAGAGAAAAATCCTTTTTTGAGGATTTCACAAAAAAAAGGAGAGGAGGGATAAATGCAATATAAAAAGATGATAACAGGGTAAATACTGTGTATAAGGATGAAATGTCTTTTTTTTTCTGAATTAGAATAAAATGAAAATTTTCTTTTGTGTTTCAATAGAATTCATCATTTCTTACTGAAAGGGTATTGATTTTTGCCCTCACAGAGTAGATGGTTAAAAGGGTTAATTTAAAAACATTGCAGACCACAGAGTATGTGATTGGGATTAAAAAAAGTCTTGTAGCAATATAGTTATGGCAACTTTAAAAACTCTAGCAGAAGGCATCCTTTTAATTTCTTAGGCTGTGATGTGAAATGTAAAGTATACTTTTATGTGGAAGACCACTTGAGATTGTCAGTTTCAGAGAAAGTGTATAAACAGCACAGAACAATGAAAAGCCTTGTTTTAAGGATTTGCTTATCACTTAAAATCTCTTCACTTGGAGAGGTTTTTTCTTTACCTTGTATTGGGAAGTAAGGAAGGGAAATATGTTTATGAATTTTGCATTGGTAATTCTGTTGTATTTTAAAAACAATGAGATGTCTCAGATGTTTCTTATGAAGTGAGAGTGGGGAAGAGATCAAGAATGCTCAGAAGGTAAAAATTATTTACTCTGATGCAGTGCAAAATAAAATATTTCAGTTGACTCCAAGGTCTTTTCCTGAATGTAAAATATATATGGCTGCAATTTATTTGGCTTTTCTTTGCCTATGCTCCACATATAATAGATCCATTTTCGTGGGTCTTGAATACTAGTAATGGGAAATTAAGAGCACTCCCTGTTATCCTTCACATACTAGCAGAAACAGACACTTTCAGCTTCAAATAAAATTTATTCAAAGTAAGGATTTTAGATTATTTGTTGTTATTGTAAGAAAAGATGATGCACTTCAAATAACAAATAACCATATCACTCTGCTAGCTAAATATAAAGAGAGACAAAGCAAATAAACAAGAAATGCTGAAATTGATGGACCCAATGCAAATTTGATCTTCTTCCACTGATTGCATGGCATTGATGCCAGAGAAGTCTTTGATTCACTTGTACACCACCAAGGAAGATTATACTCCTGAAATAGTGCTGTGTTCTATTGACTTTTTGAGACTGCCAAATAATTCAGTATGAATTGGAATGACTTGGTAGAATTTTCATGCAGTACAATAGCTACTTTACTGTAAAACTGCAAGACTGTTGGCTTAGGAAACTGGCTATTGTTTTCACCAGCTAAATGCTCTGTTGTCTGCTGACAATGACTTAGTAAATTAATTGTATTTTCCTGATGAATTTGGTTTCTAATTCCCTAAGAAGTTTTTATGGTAATTTGAAAGCATAATTGTCCACCCATTTGGTATGAATACAATGTGTGCTGGATAGCAGTCCAGAGTCCTAAAATAATTTCTTTATGGGCAGATCTTTTGCATGCACAAAGTCCCACTAACTTCACATTCTCCACACATGGTGCTATTCAGAAGATTAGTATCTTTGAATTCAGCAACTTTGTGGTAGATAATCAAGGGGATTGTTTGCATTCAGCTATTCAACTGAGTTTAACCAAAACTGTTCATTCAAAAGGTTAAATACACATCGTAGAGCTCAGAGTACAACTTCTGAGGGCACAGAGATGTTTTAATTATATTGTTAGTAGCTAATTCTTTTATTGCTCAACAGTTCTTTAGTGCCATATTTGAAATGAACTAGCAGTTTTCTTAATGGACAGGGTTTCATCACGCAGGGTAAAATCACTTTTTGGAATCGATGGTCTCAGAAGAAAGGCAGAGGACTGAGTAAAGTCCCAACCCAGGAGCCAAATCCATGCAGACAGACCCCTACACCTGCACAGGCTTCCACTGAAGAATCACCACCAAGGTTTGGAGACCCCCATGTATTTTTGGCCATGAAGCGTGTGACTTGCAGGAGCACTTGGGCTGGGGGAGTATGGGTGGAAGGTAGGAGGATGAGTGCCTCCTCATTGACACCATGTGGAGTGGTGTGCACGGTTCCAATCACAGGGCAGTCTTGGGGTCATGTTACTCTCAACTCCCCACCCCTTCTTCCTTCTTCACCTTCAGAACCAGGCAGTATTGCCACGAGTCAAGGCTTGCTGAAGGGGCAATGGCGGGGAGCAAGCAGGTGAGAAGCGAGGCAGCTTCCTTTGCCATCGTTCTTTCTAATCTATAAATAGCAAAAATAAAAGCAGATTCTGCGCTGAATTTCACTTAAATTCTTTTTAAATGGAAAAGAGAAATGGCGCTCCCTTGACTTTGATTCTAAACATCTAGCTAGGTTGGGAAAGTGCATGAAAAGCATTAAAACTCATTTGTTGAATGATGTCACATGCTCTGTAATAAATATATGTTTTGTACTATTGCAGCTGGAGCAAACAAGTAAAAGCATTGACTCAAGTGCCCACATGATCACCACGGCCAGGGTACCTGCTGATAAGCCGGTACGAATTGCCTTCAGCCTTAATGATTCCCCAGGTACAGTTTAATTTATGGAGTAAACCACAATGCTTTTAAATTTAAACCACAACTGCTTTTAAATTTTACATTAACTTACCAGTGTTTACAATATCTAATGTAGTCCAGTGAAATGGATGGATTTTTTTTCATGAGTGGTATCTTGTGGTCAGTTTTCCTGTCTGATAACTTTTAATGTTTCCATTAACAATTTCATTAGACTAAATCCACTAGATTGACAGTTTCAATCTTTACTTTCTTTCAGTGGTTTGTGGAATGCAATTAGGATGGTAATTAACTATCAAATTTACCTACATGTGCAGTACGTCTGATTGTGTGGAATTGCAAAACAGGAAAAGTAAAAGGATAAATTTGTCTAGAGAAGGAAGAGGCTTTTCCTAGGGGGAAGGTTGGAAAGTGCCACACATGCCCAGCTTGGTGAAAGGTTTCAGGAAACAGGTGCCCCACATGGCATGTTCTCTCAGACAGCAGCAGAATTTCATTGATGTTTATCCTATCAGCTCATGCTGAGGGAGTATTAATTTCCCCAAACATACCCTGTACACACATGGTCCCTTTGGAGTAGATAAATATTATCGGTTTGGACCTTCAATATTATTAAGGACCAGAGAGCTGTTGCCAAACACTGAAAATCAAAATTAAATAAATCAAAGGGGAAGCTTAAAAGCATCCAAAAAAAGTTAGTTGCTGCTTTTGCTAAAGGTGAGTGCCTGCAGTCAGGGCTGAGATGTGTTTATGGCATGAGGTGTAAGGACAACTGAAACCTATGCTGTTGAGAGCTTTATGGGACTCTTTGCATTGTAGGATAGTGTGATGGCTGTTGCCTGAGGTTTGTGTGAACAGAATCTCAGCTTGAATGCAATTTTCTATTTTCAAAATATTTTAGAATATGCATTATCTTTCCTAGCTAATTATTGTGTACTACTAATTTTCAGCTACAATACTGAAATACAATCTCATCCCTTAAGCAAGGGAATTAAAAAACAAACATCTTCGTATATTATTGAACCTAACTTTCAATTCATAAAGATGAGTGACAAAGAAAGATTGGGACAAGGGAAATAAAGAAACATGATAATCTATGTGCCTTTTTCATAAATTAAAATAACCTGGTAATTACATTTTTATTACAGAGAGCAGTAAGGAATCATTCAAATCTCTCAAGATACAGTCACATGGTAAATTTCTTGCAGGAATTATGGCATAGATAGGTCTTGAAGAGAGATGTAAAGGAAAGGGGAGTGCTCTTACAAATTATGAAAAAAGAATGCTAATGTGAGACACAGAAAACAAGTCAGGGAAAGCTGAGACCATGGGAAAATCAAAGAGAGCAGAGTGGTTTGTGACAAGAGACGGTAGTAGGAAATGACAAGGTTGTGAATAGCTTGCAAGAAGGGAACATGAAAGGCAGGAAGCCTGACTTCCTTAACATTGCATCATATTTTATTTTCTACCTTTTTATCCTGCTAATAATTCCAACCTCTTTCTTAACCTTTACAAAAATAAACTCAGTTAGGGAAAGGTAATCTTTTTCTTCTACATATTTTTAAATTGTTCCAAATGTTAAAATTGTTAAAATGTTGAATCCTTTATTGTATTATCCAAATGTTCCTACAGTATGCTATCCAGAATCTTCAGGAGTACTGATAAAAAAAACCAGCAACCAGTAGAGTGAGTGCCATGCTCCCCTCTGCATCACATCTGTTTGGGGGCTACCAGGAGGTCTAAACCAACATTACTGTTTTACCATACCATAAGAATTTCAAGTGCTTTTATGTTAGATATATTGCAAGAAGGCAAAGGAAATAAGCTTTTAATAGGTGTAAAAACTTCCAGCAAACCATAATTAAACCATAATTGAATCAAGAGAGTACAAACAAGTATTTAACATATTTTTTTTAAGATGAGCTACAAAAACATTCAGAAGATAGACAATTAGGTATTCTGTAGTAGGTGCTTTTTTTTCCCTTACTCTTTTATATTTTTTCACCTTTTTTTTCTCCTTGATGTGATATTTGTTTTCAGTCCAAACAGGAATGACCTGATGTGTGATAGTAAAGCATCAGCTGAAGCTCATGCACTGCTAGGATACAATAAGTTCTTGGCAAGGGCTGAGTGGTGAGGAAATCTCTCTGACTTAAGCTTTTCCTTAAATTCTACCTCACTTGAAAGGCACAGTGACACATTTTGCCAAGAAAGGCTGCATTCTCCTTCCGGGGGCTGTGCAACTGCTTACTAGGAGGAACTGACAGCATAACTGGATATAAAAAGAGGAAATGGAATGTTTCTTCTGAGTGGTGATTATCTCACTGGCTAGGATTGTAACCAAGCAGTGGGTGTGAGGAGCACTGAAAGGAAAAACTACTCTCAGCTTATGAAAAGAAATTACTTTGTGTTAACTGACCTACAAAACCAGAGCTGGCCTGTCCTGAGTGTACAAGAAATAATGTGTCTTACATTATTTGTCAGTCAGCACCTGATGACTGAAATTCTGGCCAGCTTTGTGAGGTATTTTTAATGTGATAGTAGAGTAATCAGTTCCTTAAAAGTCTCAGGAGCAGCCCATCAGAGGGTGCTATATAAGACAGTTTTATTGTGTATCTCTTATTCCTGTATATATAAATGTCTATGTTTGGGCCTTTCACTCAAGTTCACTAACACATTTCCCAGGGTGTGTCTGTGCACTCTGTCACAGCAGTTTGACTTAAGGTACCATTTTAAAAGAATGAAATGGAAACATACTGTTTCAACCTACCTTATATCACTTGGAAACTAATGCAGCTTGAACTGAATGTGGTGTTCCAAGATTCAAATAAGTGTTCCAAAGTTGAAAATTCATTGTGGTTTGTCAGCATCAATTTAATGTTAACCATGAAATTGAATATGTCCTAATTTTTATCAATCTTACAAATACATGAACTTAATGGGATTTTGACAGCTGGGTTTGTTTTGTGTAATAGTTCAAAGGGAAGTTTTGTAGGTTCATCTGTCTTTACCTTGCTTTCTCAAATAAAAGCTTGAATCTAGCTGAAAAGTTCTGCTCATGGTATGTGGTGATGACTGGGTCTGAAATTGTTAGTGAGTTCTTTAATTTGAAATTAGTTTACCTCTGACAGCACTTTACTGAAAAATCACTGACAACAAAGGCAAAACATAGATCTTCTAATTAACCTAATGAACCTATCAGACATTGGAACAGCGTCATATTTTTGCAAGCATGGCAAAATTACTCATTTTACTCTTCTTTATGCTCATTATCCTAGTGACTACAAAGAATTTTTTGCTTTTGTAGTTTCTCATGCTAAACCATTTTGCAGTGGTTGCTTCTTCAAAAGCAACCTCCAAATTCCTACCCCACCCTCATATTGGTTGTGATGGCTCCAGGGGTTTTCCAGCACATTGATTGACAACCAGTGAGGATTGCTAAAATATATGGCTAAAATTTACAGAGCTAATTTCCTAAATCTACACCCAACCTGCAGGGCTTGGTTCTTGGGGGATTAGATGGGAAATCAGGTGAGACAGCCTCAAAGGGACATTCATCTGAGGATGCTTAGGTTTGAATGAAGGTATATGAAGCAGAAGGATTTTGCTCTTACCTCTTCTGTTATGGACTGTTTCTATTTTTGTAGGCCCACAACTCTCATTATTGAGCAAGCCTTCACATCCTATTCCTGGGTGGGGCAGTGGCCGTTCCCCACTATTTTACCAGTGAGGTAACTGCGAGGTTGTGCGAGGTCGTGGCAGGCAGGGCTGGGAATAGAAGCCCTGGAGCTGCACAGAGCAGTGCCAAGTTGCAGTCACTTAGCCACACAGCCTTCCAGGATGAATCTGATGAGTCTGTGCTTGTCTGCCAGTGCCCAGGCCCAGAGCTGCTGCATCTCACAGCCCTCCCAGGGCCGAGGCTGGACCCTGACAGGCACTTTGCCGCTGTTGTTGGTGCAACTTGTGGTGCTTGCAGTTCACTTTGAGCACTTTTCCTGTGCAAGGGCTGATCCACTTACAGGATAGCAGCCTACTTACGTTACCAATTTAATTCTTTAATTTAGGAGGAAGAGATCTGAATACATTGGCCCACACATGTAGGAGAAAAAAAAATAGGACCTGACTGTATAATTAAATACTGGATCATAACTCAGTTACTCAAGGAAGCAGAGCTGTGATTGGCATTTCCTAAGTTTCAAGTGCTTGATTTAGCAACCTTAATGTGCTTTCAACACATTTAAATTTTTTATATTCTATTTCTGTCTATCTTAGTGAAGATCATAGAGAAACTGATTTTCAAGATTATACTGGAAGTGAATCAGATGTTATTCTTAAAGGATTTACTGCCTTTAGCTCACAGCTCAGTTAAATGGAACAGCCATATAGGAAAAGATTTAGGTATTACACTTCATTGTGCCAGACCCAAATCTTTTCTCAGCAACACATGAAGGATTTCTCTCATTTGACTACATGATGGAGGTCTGGGATATTGGAATCTCCAGGAGCCCAGAGCATGACTAAATAAGTGAAACTTTCCAGAATCAAGCTTCATTCTCAAATGTGCAACTTTAGTGTATATCAGCTGCCTCAAGGCTAGTAGTGAGATTTTTGTACAGAGCCAATCAGTGCTAATAGAGTTCAGATACTCTTTGTTATAAATGACATTTTTCAGCAGCAAGCCATGCAAGCATGTGAAGCTGATGAAACAAACATGTAAATCACACTATTTCATGCACACAAACTGTGTCTTTGGCTAAAAACACATGGGTTTTGATCAGGGTACATGTCTTTAGGGCATTTTTAAATATAGAACTTCAAAATTAGATGTGGGATCTATGGGAAATCAGGAAATGCTACTCATTTAGAAATCATGTGACAGATAAATTAACTTAGGTGCCTGTAATGAAATCCCTGATCTGATTCTTTCACATCACAGGATAGTGCTGCTGACTTTGCTGGTATAGCCATAATATGCACATGTACATTTTTCCTTCTTTCTTATTTCCTTTTGACCAAAATCTTGACTCATTTTCAGGTGCAGTGAGTTGCTATCTCTCCTTTTTAAATATATTTTTATTTTAAACGAAATGAGTTTTCAACATCCAACTTGAATTACAAATAATTTTTCCTTATGTGTTTATTTGTAGTGACTATAGGGATAAGATGTTGTTTGTAACTGGTGAAGAATCAGCCTAGATATTTTCAGGGATTTGTGGTACAGAGAAGACACTAACTCTATTATAAAAGAGGTCTTTGATTATTTAAGTGATTCCTTATAATAATCTAGATATTCATTAAAAATTGATAGCTAATTGAGAAAAGGGGGAAAAGAGGTATTTCAGAGTTCTGTTTTCTAGTTAAGGAGAGGTAGAGTAGAAAATAACAAACAGATCAGGAGATAGTTTTAAAAATGTTTTGATCTTCAGAATCATTTCATTGGCATTTCAGACATTTTTGTATCTGATTTTCAGAGTCAATAATTTTTAAGACTAGAAGTCAATGTGATTTTGACTGGTATTCTGCTGGTAAGGGCAATAGCAATTCTTCTGAAAAAAATGCAAGAGTTTCTATCTTTCCTCTTGACATCCTGAAAACATCCTCAAAAATGTTTTAGGAGGTGAATGACTGCTTTCATTTGCTTTCTCCTTGTGTGAAATTTAAGTTTTTATTACTACCAATAATAAAATTATTTTCATTGTTAATGTTGTGGTTGTTACTTTGACAACAGCGAAATACTGATCTGGGGCAATAATTTATTTTGCTGAAAGCTGTGGGGAAAGCCTTTTGTTCTTCTTTTTGTGAAAAACAAGACTGTAGTTAGCTATGAGGATTTCTGTTCTTTTTTGTAAACTAAATACTTCAGCTGAAATTCTCAGAAGAGCCGAAGAGAATTAGGAACTCAGGATAATTTCAAAACACTGAAGTCTGCAGCATTTCTCGATGATGTTCTGCACATCAGATGATGATCTAAACAAGTCTTAAACTAGTATAACTAAAAAAAACCCAGCAGCTGTTCAATAGATGCTAGGGCAAGCCCATTATAAAATGTACTATGGTATGTCATAATGGTTAGGATACCAGTGCATTCTATTTTTAGTACCATTGACTCAGTCACTTGAGTTCAAAAAATAAGCAGGGAACATCTGTTTATTGAAAGGATTTCCTCTACATTAATTTCTCTCTCTATTCCATCCTTTATAATGTACTTCAAAACTTTTTAACTGGTTCCTTTCAGAGTATTTTCCAATATTCTGACACTGTATTAATTTTATTTTCTTATTAATAGCTGATTCTGTGAAAATGTAATTACTCTCTGATGTTTCTTCAAATTTTTTTTAATCATTTGGAGTGTTGCTTTTGCTGTGTTTTTCTGAATTTTAAAGATGTTCAAGATCCCTCAGTAAAGCTCCTGTAGCAAAGATTGTACTGCTGGAATTGCCAAAACAAATAGCAGTTTAAGTGCCATCCATGACTCTGGTCCAATATCTCTGTCAGAATATTTAACAGCTATTCAGCCAAATACCTGCAGAGCAGCTGTAGCCCTAGTCAGACCGAGTCTTATTCCGTCCTTCCTTTTAGCCTTGCCATATGATTCATCTTTCTTCTTTTAGAATATTGGTCTATTTATATATTGTACAAGAAAGCAATAGCAAATTAAAGATAAACACTTGCATATTAGCATGATACATTCTGTACAATTAAAGCAATTTAAGTATTTTCCAGAATGGGCATGCTTGACATATGGTGTGAAGAAAGAAGGGGGACACTTACGTGACGTGGGTATGACTTTTTGATAATGTAGCAAGACAACTACTCCATGAAAATACAGGAACTTCACTTTATTTCCTGAGGAAATTCAAGAGCTTTTACTTTTGTATCACTATTCTGTTTTTCTTCTCTGAGCATCTCTTCCCAGAGGCTGCCCAGCTCTAGCTATATTATTGAGTAAGGCCTGACCATGTGTTAGCCAGTATATTTATTTTTCATAGGCTAAGGTGACTTATTTTACTTTTCCCCCCAACCTCCTTTGCTGTATAACCACAGAGGCCAGGAGAACGAGATATCAAATATTAGAGAAATAATTTAGATCGTAGTCTGTATTCTTTTAGAATCCTTCTTTGGTATGAGGTCCCCTTGATCTTGTTGGGGTTTTGTTGCTGTGTTCAAGCCTATAAGTACACAGCAGGTTGCAGGATCTGAACTGTGATAGATAAAACTGAATTTTCTCCTGGAAGAGAAGGAGAAATCCTTATTTAATTTTGACACATTACAAATAACTGACTGTAAGCTAATAGTAACACTCTCCTCACCTCCCATAACCTGTAGTAAGATGAATAAACAGTCATCACAGTCCAATGCAAAACTGAGAGTGTGAAAGTCACTGAGAAAGAAATATTGCACTGGCGCTACCAAGTGCAATTCATATTTCTGATCTCAGGCCAGCTACTAGTGGGCAGGTGTCCACATCACAGCCCTGACATAACTGGTGCAATCTGTCCTACCTTTGCTGGAAGCCTGTTCTAAAAATAAACCAAAAAAAATCCCAAACAAATAAATAAAAATACAGCTTGGTTTGTTGTCATGATGGAACTAACTCTATCCCATACGGATTGTAATTGAAAGGTAAAGCACTTTAAGACAGTCCTTTACTCAGCATTGTAGTGGAGAGAGCTCAGGAAAAAAACAGTTTAGATTTATTTATTTTATTAAATTATCACATGTTCTACTGGACCAACTGCTTTGTTTCTTCAGTCACTGCAGTGCAAAATAGACTTTCTGTATTTCCAGAACATAAACTTTTCTTATTACCAGTCCACTAGTATTTTCAAGGATTCTACTGAGGCATCTCAAGTGTAAAAGATAAGATGTAGGGGTGTTTTCAGGATCCCAATATTACTGTCCATATATGCAATATAGAACTTCATGAAACAGATTACTTGAAATGCCCTCTTTGTTAGACAATAACTTTTAACATTGTGTTTACCTTTTAGATGATGCTTCCCCTGAAAACTTCTCTTTGGCATTTCCAGAACTAGATCAGCAGCTGCAGGTAAACTTTTCTTCTCTTATGACAGTTCTACTTCACATTCACTGTATTTGTTGTTATAAAAAGCCTCTGGTTGTTACATTATAGTGGAAGTTTTTAGTTGTGCTTTTCTAGCCTGTTAACATTTAATAAGACTCCATATATCCATAGAAGAAAACATTGTTTTTTCAAGATCTACAGAAAATTTTTAGTCAAACCGCAGGGAAATTACTATTTTAACAAGATCTACAGAAAATTTTTAGTCCAACCGCAGGGAAATTACTATTTTAACAATCTTGCTTTTAAGATTTTCCATCCAATTCCTGCAGTGCTGCTGCCCTGCAATGAAGAGAGTTCTTTCTTGTTCAACTGATGGGAGGAGGAATGAGAGGAGCATTATACACTCTAATGCCTGCAGCTGTGCTATGACTGATATCATCAGTTTTCTCAGGTGCATTCCAAGAGAATCCTTTGCTGACCAGTCTGATTTGTCAGCACAGAATGATGGGCCCCCAGTATTCTGGATAGTGAGCAATTGATGGCAACTCCGTGGTCCTCTAGGCACAAAGCCAGTTCTGCATCCAGGGATTATTTCCCTTTCCTCTGTGCTGGTTCTGGAGTGTTTGCTGGCTTTGAATACTTCAGATCATCTGTTTTCCCAGGAGCATTCAGACTTCCTCTGATATTTCACTCTGAAGGCAGTTGTTTCCTGACTGTAAATTGAGAAGGGCATTGGTAGACCCCTCATTGTGCAATAGTGTCATCTTTCCTGTGCCCATCAACTGGTGAGGCAGCACGGGGTGGCTGCTGGCTTCAAGGGTGATGCTTCTGTCTCGCTGCTCTCACCAAAAGGATGACTGAGAAAGGAATGGAGGATGACAGAGACTCTTCTTGCTCTATCCCTCTCATCCTGAGGATATGGGCAGGTTCTTTAGGCATAAATAGGAATTAAGGAACCAGGTAGTATGCTAACCTCTTTATTCCACTAACCTTCCAGTGCAGCAAACAGGATCGGTATTTTTTTCCTTAGAAGAATTCCATTTGAGAAAAGCAATCATGTTTCATGGCTGGAGCACTGAATTGAAAGTAAAGAATCTGCATTTTGTTTCCAACTCTCTCAGTGACACATTGCTTAATCCGGGAGTTGCTTCATCTCTCTGTTCATCTCTGAAATTAAGTTAATAATTTTTACCTTTTTTGTTGAAGAGCATTAAGACCAGTAAGTAAGGATTGCTCTAAAAGAGCAAAGTATGATTATTATTGCTGCTATTGATACATAAAAACAATATTACTAGCATTACGTATAACTACTTTGCAGGACAAGTGATGATTTTTTTATTAAGACTTTTATGACTTTTACATTTCTGGAATCTATAATATACTCTAAATATGGAATTTCACAATAGGCTGAAATTGCTCCTGTGGAAGCATTCAAGTGTTCTGGATATATAATAGCCCTTCAGTAAAAGTTTTTAAGTACACACTAGCACAATCCCTCTAAGTGTACCCAATTGGTCTGTTAATTACTTGGCATTTGTTTCAAGAAAACCTTCCTTTACTCTCATAATCTCAATATGATAACAAATTCAAAGAAACAATCAAAGGCTTTGGTTAATGTAATTTTCTTTTTATTATCCTTCATAATCTCTCTTGGTAATATCAGGGTAGCTGGAAGGATAACTTATGAGAACTACCTGTCTGACTCAGCTACTTAAAAGTATAAAGTTTGTGGTAGCACTTAATCCTTTTGTTTTCAAGCTTATGTGCATGTTTATATTGCAATGCCTTTATGTTCACCCAAGGGCAGTGAAGTTAATGCAGGGATCTGAGCTGATGCAAAGATAACAGTGCATTCAAATTTAGCAATAAAAACTTGAATTTCCTTGCTTTTATCAATCTGGATTACAGTTTCATGTGATAATATTTAATGTAATTACAGTATTTTTAATCTTTAAAATTTCAAACCAGCAATAGCTGTTACAAAGTTATTATTTACCTCATTACATTTCTTATTAATTGTGGTTTTTTCATTTGCTGCAATCCAAACTGCTGTGGGTTTGTCAGAACTCTATGGTATGTGCTTGTAATTCATGCCAGCTTTGAAACAGGTAGCTCCTGTATTACAGAAACAGGTAAAATGGGCTTCACCAGGACCTGCAGAAGTAGTGAATGGTGGTGTCCCTTGTCATTCCATCCATGCTTTTTTCTGTCCTGAAGTGCATTAATACAGAGCACACACATGAAGGGTCGTGTAAATGAACCTTTTAATCAACTGTGGCAATAGCAGCCTGAAAGGCTTGAATCTGTAAGAATGCTGGTACATGTGTTCATAATAAAAATATCTTATCTGAGAGCCACAAGATTTTCATCAGTGTGCCATAAATACAGTCAAAAACATTTGAATTTTATTTAAAGAAGCAAACTATAAATGCAGGTTATGTGGCTATACAGTAATAGGCACCTTAAATAAAAAGTAATAACTTTACAGATTTCAAGCATACAAAGGAAAATTTTGAAACCCATTTTAAAAACAAACAAAAAGCCTAAATTAGCTGATCTTTAGGCTGGATTTTGAAAGCAGCTTGAAAGCTATGTAAGTTCAGCGAGTCACTTGGAAAATCAGAGCCTTAGAATTCTATGCATGCAGGCAGCAGACCACAGCCTGAGTACCAAGCAATTTGCACCTCTGTTTTAGGCTTCAGGCTCTCGTCCTCCTATGTTAGGCCTTGGCAGACAACTTGGCTATTTGGGCAGAATTACCTAGTGGTCCCACTTTTCCTCCCACAATTCTTCCATACCTATTCCCTGGGCAGCAGTATCAAATGGCAGGGCAAAGTTCAGTGCAGCCTCCCCTCGGCAGGGTAACAAACCCTGCTGGCCAAGCTCTACAGAGGTCCATGTGGAATTGCCTGGAGAGAAGGTCTTTCTAGGAGACTGAGGAAAAAAGCTAATTTTCTATAAGGACTTCTACTAAAGGACAGTTCTAGCTGCAGCTTCTTTCCAAAGAATAAAAATTAACAGTCTGTGTGTGCTGATGTATTGGCGAGCTTCAGACTAACAGGTTTTATTTTCAAATTACTTTTTTGAATGTTACATTTTTCTACACATTCCGAGAAGCAATTTGTAAAAAAATAACTCAACTACTTTAAATCAAAATTTATATGTGGTCTGTGGTCAACCAGACATGAAAGCCCTTCATATGAGAACAGGTCAGTTTGAGCTATATTTGCAGCTTTATTGTTATTTAAAAAAAAAACAAACACACACAACTAAAATAACTTCCTGCTAAGTTATCAGTGAAACAAAACTCATATTAATAAACTTCTTGTTTTCAATTCCTTTTGTTTGCAGTATTGGAAATTATTCTCTTCCCACTGACAAGCAACGCTGCTTATTTGAGCTTTGGTGTTTTTCCTCTGTCCCATGTGTGTGTGCCATGTGGTGGGCAGTGCAATAAGGGTGGGCTGGTTACACCTGGCACTCTGTCACTGGGAAAATTTAACCTTTGCTTTGTCTGGATGGGTCCTTGCAAGGCACTTCCTTGATGAGCTGCACAGTGACCCTCTGACAGAAATTTTACTATGGGTTATGTGCTGTATTTAGAAACCTACATCAGCGCCCAAGGCCTTGTTGTTCAGGTCACTGAATGGAGAGGGGGTATCTGGTGTTCATACCTGCATTGCTATGCCCTGTTCATGCTCTGTCCCATTCCAACACTTCCTGGGACTTGCTCAGTCCATCTCTCTGCTCCCCATCAAAACCTTTATTCCAGCTGAGAGATAATCCTGAAGAGGAAAGAACACAAGTCACATATGGATGTTTCTACAGGGTGTTCTATAGTTCTTTATCTTTGAAAACCAGGTTAGATGGGGCTCTGAGCAACCTGTCTAGTGGAAGGTGTCCCTGGCACGGGCTTGGAAGGAGGTGATCTTTAAAGTCCTTTCCAACACAAAACAATTCAATGGTTCTGTGATCTTGTCTCATGAAATTGTGAGCTTGAGAGACATTTATGTCATATTTCGTGTTACAAATCTGTGTCATTAGATGACTATAAAATTGCTGCTACAGAGAAAAAGCTCCAACCACTTATAACATCCAACCTTAAGTCAAAGGATAGTTTTTCTCACTTCAGTAGAAAATGCTCATACAAAAGAAGTAATGCAAATGTTATGAAAGGGGCAGTGAGCTGTGTGTGGTATCAGCATTTAGCAGAAACCTTGTTTACTCTGGAACTTTAATTGCTTCTACTGAATGCTAGGATTTTTGTTGGACACATAAACTAATTTTAGAAAGTTTAAAAGCATACTGTTTTTTTAAAGAGGATGCTGTAATTTTTTTACTATGTATTGGTTTCCATGAGAATTCCTAGAGGACTCTGCTGCTCTATAATTAGATTTGATTGGCTATGAACTTGATAAGTTTCCTGTAATGCTGCTGTGATAACTTTGGTCTTAGATTATGTAAGACCATTTTATGCGTGTATGTTAACATGTAGGCATGTTCACCAAGTCAGAGCATCACACTAAGGTTAGAAAAGAATGGAAAATCTCCCAGGAACGAGAGCAGAACTCACAATTGCTCTCATCCAGTTGACCTGAATTGTTTGGAAGAAAGAGAACTGTTTACTTTCATAGTAAAACCAGACTAGACTAGACTAGATGCATCCTAAGATGGGTATCTGAAACTGGTGGGAGAGTTCCAGTTGCACTACAAAAAGTAACTGCAATGTGCTATTTTTACTTGGCACAATGTGGGTTTTTCTATCATAGAAAAGTGCACAAGGCCATATAATGAACATAGGCCACATTCAAAATATTAGCATTGGATTCTCCACTTTTCCAGAAGAGTTCAGCTGAAAGTTACCAAATTTACAAAAAGCAAGATGCCACTCTTTAATTAGATCAGTGCTGAAGACTTCTAGACAAGTTCACATGAGCTGGAAAAACTGCCTGATACATTTTTTTCTTGAAACTTCAACTTTTTCAGGAGAAAGTTTTAAATGTTTTTCACAGTTAAACACATAAGTGCAGTGATGGTGAATTTAAAAAATCAACTGTTTTAAAGCTTTGGAACAGTTGAGTGGCACTGCCAACTCTACAGCTTTTGTGGATATGTAATGCTGATTTTCATATGGCAAGGCAAAAGAACTTGTCATGTGAGTGAAGCAAAAAAAAAGCCCAAACCTGAAAACTTTCCTTCTGTGTCACCCCAGCAAAGATTTTATTTAGAAGATCTCCTTCAACCTGCCTTAAAAAGCAGGCAGAGAGGAGGCTACCCAGATGATTAAAGGAATGCAGCCCCTCTCCTGCAAGGAAAGCAAGTCCCTTCCAACCCAAACCTTCTGTGATTTTCTGTTTCTTCATGAACTGCTTTTGCATGTCATCTTCCAACATCTTTCATGTCTGGATTCTGAACAAAAGTCTAAGTAAACAGTACATATGTCTTGTAAAGATGCATATATGTAGGTGCAGTTACAGGATGGTCTATAAAAGGATCTCTTAGTGTCTACTTGCTGAATTCTGTAGAACATTTCTCAATGTTACAGTGAGTTACTCAACAAAATACAAGGAAAAATCAGACCTTGTTGAAAATCAGGCTTAATAGGACAGACCACCAATATAACTTACAGCTGTAGCTTTTGTACTAGCTTTGTGAACAAGATCAGAGATGCTGCATGAGCATATTTTGCCAGCACAGGAAAATGAGAGTGAATGACACTGAAGCCTGAAATAAACAGGATTAAAAGCAGAAACTGTGGCCATTAAATGTAACATACTTTGGCAGGGATGTTTTTGCTTGTCTAGCAGGTATACTTTTATTTATATTAATTTATGGACAGGCAAGGTACAGCAAGCTCAGGCTGTTCTAAGAGGAAAGTAAAGTATGGCTGTTTACTCCTGAGTGAAAAAAAAAGCATACTGCAAATTGAACTTCATTAAGGACTTCTGAAATTAGTCACGTTGGTAAACTAGCAATCCCTTAACATAAAGATGTTATACAGACCTCATGGAATGCCATTGGGCATTCTGTAGTGCAGTATCTGCAGTATTTCCCACTGCCTGGCCACAGACTGTTAAAAAAGTCCTTCCACATGGAATGGAGATTTGTATCTCTCCTTTTCCCATGTTATTGCAGGAGAAAGTGTTTGCCAAATAAGCCTGTTCCACATGGTACTGACCAGACACTGCTCATGGATGCTGTAGATAATGTCTCTGGAGCCTTTCTTAGTACTTTCCAAATTACAGAGGAGCAAAGCAAATTCTCCAGTTCTGGCTGCCCCATCCCTGGAAGTGTTCAAGGCCAGGCTGGACAAGGCTTGGAGCAACCTGGCATGGCAAGGCCTGCCCATGGTGGAGGGGCTAGAACTTGATGTTCTTGAAGGTCCTTTCCAATCCAAACCACTCTATGACATGATCCAATGATATTCCATCTGGCCATTTGAAAACATTGTAACATTTATGTTTTAAGGAAATAATACACTAATAATTTTAAATATTCTTGATATAGTGCCTACTACCATCAGACAAATTGAAAATAATTTTAAGAATAGAAATTAGTAAACTGATTGTTTAATTCATTTTAATTTAAGTGCTAAAATATCAGTGTAAGAGAAAATGTCACTCAAGAGGAAATAATAATAGGAAGGGGTTTAAAAGTCAGCAACTGGTTCTAAGTGATCCTTAGATACTAAGTTTCAGCATGACTTGATAATTTTTAGCTCTCTATATATATCTTTTGAGTGGGAAGCTGGAATATAGAAACTGAGCGCTGTTTTAATTTTTAAACTCATTTAAACCAGCTAGATTAGTGGAAACTAAATTGGAAGCAAATGCAAGGTCTTTTCTGCTTTTGTTGTGTTTTTCTTTTGAAGTATCACTGTTTGGGGACTTTCCCCTTGATACTGTTCGAAATTGTTTTATTGTGACACACTTGGTGGCTGATCTCTGGTAGATAGCAGAGATGCTGCTTTGGCTCATCCACACATTCTTGGATTAGAGCACTGAGACTTCTATATTCAGTCTTGCTAAATTTATGCTTATTATTTGGGTGGCTATATGAATGGTGCTCTTGCTCATCCTCACTGAAATGCAATTAAAAGCCCTTTCCTAGGGATTAGATTCATCAAGTATTGGGCTGCCCTTTCCCTGGGTTCCCAAAATCTCCAAGATCAGGGAGAATGAAACAATGTGCTGTGAAACAATCCTGCTGCAGCAGTTTTAAATTTAGACTATGGAATATGAGTGTCTGTTAAAATTTCAGTGAGGAATCACATACCAGCTACAAGTACTTGCAAGCTCCATACATTGCTTACATCTGTGCTTTGGGTTATGTCTGAAGCCAGTTTACCCTGTCTCCTGAACAAAAATGTTTTTGGATTTAAAAAAAGGATTACAAGATCATAAATAGGAAAAGTCTGCCTACTTGGGCTTTTCTTTTCCTAATAATGTCATTAAGGGAATATTATACTACACACAAGAGTCAAGGTAGGACAGCAAGAAATGCAAAGCAATCTACTAATATTGTGGAAGGCAATTGGGTGTTATTTAAATGGGCAGTAAATTAACTATTTTAAGTGTTTCCTTTTACTTCAAACAGGTGGCTCAAGCATGCTATTTGGAGTTCATTTACAGTCAATAGATTCATGGCTAATAACTTAAAAATACTTCCTGAAAGTGTTATAACCAAAACGTGACAGTCAAATCTGAAGCCTGAATTAAGATGCATTCTTTTTTAAGGAGCAAAAAGCACCTACATTTAACCAAAAAGTATTTTCAAGAATTTTGATGGAATTTACATAAGGAGTCCGAGGACAGCTTGATTTTATTTGCCATATTTATTACATTCAGGATGCATTGAAAAAAAGATGATGTTGGTGCAATGATGTCAGTTCCTGGCAGTGTAAAGATGTGTGTGATAGGTCTGATCAATGCATCAGCTTTAGCATTTCCATATCACTCTAGCTGAAAAAGAGGGAGCCAAGGGAGAAATCCTTCTTTGAAAAATCTTCAGGGATATTTTGCAAAGCTGACAAGAAGAGTTCTGAAAATTCTCACAATGTTTGAAGTTTTACACATATGTTTGAAGTTTTACACATATTCTTATGCAGGGAACTGGTTTGGGTTTTTTCCTTCCTTGAAAGGCCATCACTAGGAATAGTTGGACATATATTGCAGTTAAGGGAAAAAATTCTTTAGGTATTCTCACAGGAATTTAGATAAATATTGTATCTTTCAAAATATGTGGGGTTTAAACTAATATTTCATTCCAAAAACTTCTTTTTCTTAAAGCCTCTGCCTCCTTGTCATGACTCTAAGGAATCTATGCAGGTGTATAAACAGCACTGCAAAATAGCAGAAGAGTACCACGAGGTCAAGAAAGAAATTGCTCTGCTGGAAGAAAGAAAGTGAGTAATTTTCCCAAAGTATTTACTGTCCTATATTCTCTTTGCAAAACCCTGTTTGAAACATGAAAGCTTAACACTGTATTTTCTGACCTTCTATACATATATGCTTGTATATGTATTTATACATATATTGTAATTGTGGCCTTCCAGTATCTGAAGGAAGCCTAGGAGAAAGATGGAGAGAGACTATTTATAAGGGCCTGGAGGAACAGGACAAGGAGAATGGCTTCAAACTGAAAGAGAGGGCAGGGATAGGTGGGATATTGGGAAGAAATTCTTCCCTCTGAAGGTGGTGAGGCCCTGGCACAGGTCGCCCAGAAAAGCTGTGGCTGTGCCATCCCTGGAAATGTTCAAGGCCAGGGTGGACAGGGCTTGGCTTGGAGCAACCTGACCTAGTGGAAGGTGTCCCCTGCCTGTGGCACAGGGTTGGAACTGGATTATCTTGGGGGTCCCTTCTAACCCAAGCCATCCTATGATCCCATGATTTCATGCCTCTGCCTGATGGTCACAAGTTGGTCATTGCTCTACAGGATCTACTGAGGCCACTAAGGGCTGTCACAGTTCAGCTTTGTGGTTGTCCCTTAAAGCTTCACTGGCAGCCTCCAGGTCACATAACAATCCAGTTAATCTAGTGTAGGTTCCTTTTCAATTTTAGTTTTTTCAATAAACATTGCACGCTTTAATGAAGAACAAAATGGATTCTTATTTAGGCTTAGAATCCTTGACAATGTTAGTAAACATGTTTCTGTTAGCTGCTTTGGTTTTGTGTACACTGGTTCAATATACACTGGCATCTCAGGTGTTCATACCCAAAGTGAATAAGCTGGAGGATTTTTCTCTTGTCTATGGCCTGTACTCACAGCCCTGTCATCTTTTGCCTGACTATTAAATGGCAAAGTGCACTCTGTGGCTGTCAGTCCCTTTCCACAAGAAATCTGAAAAGAAATTCAGAGAGAGGAAAGAAGGTGAATAGTGAAATCTCTGCCCAGCTGACCCTGCAGCTCAGCCAAGTTTGCATCCATGGGAATCTTCAGCTGCAGAAGCAAGAGGTAAACTTGAAATCCTGTAGTCTTACAAGACAGCCAAAGAACTCCCTAAATCCAAACTATGCAGGGTAAGAAAGTGAGATGTCTTTATCTGGGTTGATGGCTAGAGCCACAATATAGTTACTTTTTGCCTAAAGTGTCAAAGCTAGGTGAAATTTCCCATTGCAAATCCCCTTCCACTGAAGGATCAGTTTGGCACTCAGATGCTGAGAGACTGGAACAAAAGCTAAAAAAGATGATGACCAATGTCATGGGAAAATGCATTTTGCATTTGAATCATATTTGCAGCATTTGCATTTGATTCACCATTAATTGTACTTGGCCAATCAAAAGTAATTAGTATTTTTAAAAAGATTAGAAGGTAAGTAATTTATTTTAAATTTGCAATGATTTTTCAAATTTGGTTGTCTGATATAAGCTGCTTACATATTTAGCAGTCAGTTCAGTGGAAACCATGTGTCCGTCTACTCTGAAAATCCAAGCACAACATAAAATATTAAATGATTGTTTAAGTGCTTGACTTTAGTTGTATAAACACCAAAGGTAGGCTTCAATCATTTTGGTTTTACAGTCTACTAATATAAATCAATTTTTATTATTATTGGCACAACCCTGAATCAGTTATGCCTATTTATGAAGAATGCTTGGAACCCATGAAAATGAGACATTCACATATTTTTTTGCACTTTCTGGAATAAAAAAATTGCTGTTTGAATGCAATTTTTAAATCTATAAATCTGTGGTACTAGCTAAATTAGAAATGCTTCTTGAGAATGGCAGGTACATGCTATTTACAGGTACAATTATCCTAATCAACCTCTGAGCCCAGAGGTCAGCCTCTCAGTGGTGCTTATCTTGGATGAATTAAAGGGCTTCAGGCTGGCACTTTCCTTCATTCCACCAGTGGATGTCAACAGTGGAACAATGTCAGGAAGCTTCCACCACTGCTGTCTGTGCTGAACCTGTTCTGGGAATTCCATGCCCCAGTAAACAGATGTTTGAGTGGCTGTGTAAGGCAACAGATGGAATCTAATTATTGAGACCCACATGTACTTTCTAATTACATATTTGTAACCTTATGTTCACATGCTGTAGAGCTGTGAAATGCCTAAACATAACAAATATCAGGGCAGCACCTTTCACACCTCCCATGTGTCTTAATCTGAAAAAGTGATCCTACAGCACTGGGATCAAGGATGCTTAATTTCCTCACAAGCTGCTGCACTGTGGTTGCCTGATTTTGAGGTTTAACAAGCTGCAAGTACAAATTTAGGGTATGTTTCCTTGAGATGTAGATTGTTTATAACTCCTTCCTCCAAGAAGATTATCCATTTTGTAGTATTTTGGAACGGGTCTCATGCCTTCCACCATTGTGTATCTTTCCTTTCTGGAGCAGTCTGTTTTTATTAAACCCTCCAGAAACCAATTGGGACCTCTTTACCACATGGTTTGGTTGAAATTGAAAGGTGGATTAGAAATTATTAGGACACATGTAAATTTGCACACATGTAAGCAAACAAACCTGAACATGACAGCCTTGATTTTTAACTAAAACTAGACAGAAAGGGAGTATAAGTGTGGAGGCAAAGGAATAAGCAAGAAGTAAAAGGGAGTTTTGCTCTCATGTTCACTGATTTATGTCTAAAAACATTCTCAGCACTTACAGTAAGGGAGTTAAAAGCAGTTTAGGGACTAGCATATACTGAATGAAAAGTGGATTATAATGGCTGGGGTGGCATGCATGTCTTGCATTGTGTGTGTACATATAAGTGTATGTATGTATGTATATAAATACATGTGTATATTTTTATATATGTATACACTTATATATGTACCTTATAATTGTGGCCTTTCACTACCTGAAAGGAGCCTGCAAGAAAGATGGAGAGAGGCTATTTACAAGGGCATGTAGAGATAGGACATGGCAGTATGGTTTAAACTGATAGACAGTAGGTTTGGATTGGATATAAAGGAGAAATTCTTCCCTGTGAGGATGTTGGGGCACTGGAAATGGTTGCCCAGACAGCCCTGGCTGCCCCATCACTGGAAGTATTGAGTATTCCATTTTAAAAAGGGAAGAATGCTTTCACTTGTCTAAAAAGTCTGATGAGATGCACAAGTTTTTAGCCTCAAAACCAATTAAAATCAAACTGAAAACATAGAGTTGCAATTTTCTAAAATTTGCCCCTGCTGTGGGTTTCTTCTTCTACATTTGAGTTTGAATGTATGGAAATGAAGATTCCAAATTGTGTACTACACCTACTATCTATTGTCTATTTCTCCTGAAGAATAGTATTTTGATAAAATGGGCAATGATCAAGTTGCATCCCATGTAAGGGGAACAAACAGCTTTTATAGTGTTTTTCAGTGTGCATTTTTACCAAAGGCAATCACAAATGCTGTTGGATGGTATCCTTGCCAGTGCTCCCAACTCCTCTCCACAGATCAATTCACCTGTGTCATTCCAATGACAAGGCTCACCTGGCAGTTTCTGTACCTGTGTTGCCTGTGACAGTACATACAGGATGCTGAAGGCTATGACTGACAGAAAAAAGAGGAAAATTGATTGAGCAAATAATTTTTATTTGTTGGCTAAGAGGAAGAAATAATGTTAACCTGACAAATATCTGTACAGGTATTAGAGCTTTTTAGCAAAAGAAAAAAAAGTAATAGGGTCAATTCTACTTTAAATAATTTTTGTTCCAACCTCCAAAGTTCAGTGTAACCTTTCATACATGAAATAATATATACAGATATATTTTTATATTCTTTTATAAGACATAGAAAGTTGTAAAGCATAATTTTAACAACAGTGAAAAACATTGAATCTTTTCAAAGGCTTTTACTTCTGCTTAGCTTGATGTGTAATGTGAGCATCAAGTACAGCCAAAGTAAAGTCAGTGAAGTGAGATGACAAGGGCTGCTTTTCACCAAGGTGAGAACAAACTTATTTACTTGTTCTCTTTTGTGCAATATAGATGGCAAGAGAATGTACTAGGATGGCAGTGGGAGAGGAGATGACAAGTATTTCACGGGAAAATGGGAAATGTGAGAGAGAAAAAGAGGTTGTAGTATCAAAAAAGGGAAAATCAAAGGACAAAGCAAATAAAGATGGGAAAAGAAGTTACTCAGGAATAAAAAGGAAGCAAAAATTTGAAAGAACATTGGGTAGATTTTTTTGCTAATTTAATCATAGCTTCGTTTGCTGTCTTCGCTCACACTCTTCACATTTATGCCAGCAATACGTGGTACAAGGGAAAAAACCACTCTGGAATGGGAGACATGATTGAAAATAAAGAAAAGGGTGTGGAAGCAAGAACACACCACATTTAGGGCACAGAATGTAATTTAATTTATGTTCCAGAAACACACACGTATTTCCATAACAGATGGTTTTGGGTATCTAACTTTGGGTGAAAGGGATGAGATGGCTGGTTATTTTGAGCACTTGTTATATTGCTATTACTAGATAATGACCCTGGATTATGTAGTTAAATATTAGAGTTGCCATGGTTGCTAGCTGTATCTTATATTCTTAGCACTGCATGGTTATCTCTTTTTCCTCCCCCAGACAATTCTAATATAACTCTACAGAAAAGATCATTTGATCACCTCCTGGTTTAGGATCATTCATTCTCTTGGCCATGGATATGATTTCTTTTCCTTCTTTTACACGTTAGAGTAGACAGAGAATCATGGAATTGTTAAGATGGGAAAAGAACTTTAGGATTATCAAGTCCAACCACCAGCCCAGCACCACCTCCCTGTTCACCATTAAACTGTGTTCTCCACTGCCACCTCCACTTGTTTTTTTAACTACTCCAGGGATGGTGACTCAACCACTCCCCTGGGCAGCCCATTCCAGTACTTTACAAACCTTTCCGTTAAAAAGTTTTTCCTGATATCTAATCTGAACCTCCCCTAGCACAACTTTAGGCCATTTCCTCTCTCCCT